GGGGGGGGGGGGGGGGGGGGGAGAGAGCATGTGTATTTGTCTCTTGGATGTGCGTGTGTGCATCAGCGTGCATGCTGCTGCATCCTAACCTGCATGAGTGTGTCTTTTCAATGTGTGATGAAAGACAAAAATGTTGCACACCAAGAAAGGAGAGAATCAATGAGGTAAACTGGATAAGCATGGGAGGAAAGACGAGAAGGAAGAAGACAGGTGAAGATAGATCCAAGGGAGGAGCTAGCAGTTCTACTTCATCCGAGGGCCAAGGGAGGGGGGGACTGAGGGATTAGAAAGAAGGAAGAAAAAAAGAAACAGGAAGAGAGTAGGGGCACTTCATTGGTCCTAGTTTGACGGGTTGCCCAACGTCCATTCCTCTTCCTTTTGCCTTCCCTTTTTCTTTCTTATTGCGAAGAATTACTGCTTCCACGTCCATTCCTCTTCCTTTTGCCTTCCCTTTTTCTCTTCCCTTTCCCTGTCTCTTTCCTCCCCTTTTTTTTGTTTCATAAGAAAAAACAGGTCCTTATGGTCCTTGCCCCATATCCATTCTGGGGAGCATCAGTCTGGTTCCTATTCCACCGGCGCCCTCACGCTTCCTTCCGTTTACTCTCTTTCCTTCCCTTATCCCCTCTTTTTTTCTAAAAGTGCGACGGCCTTGAGATATCATCATTGAATTGATCGGTCCCGGGCAGTTCATAATTATTTTTTTCTGCTCATCTAATTTTTGCATCCTTACCCTTATGAAAATCGCTAATGTGAGAATTTTGGCATCCGGGCCGTCCATGGGCCTACCGGCCCGACGGCCGGGATTGCCCCGCGATCTTAAGATTTTAAGATTGCGTGGCGATCCAGGCCGTTCGTGGTCCTACCGGCCCAACGGCCTGGATTGCCGCGCTGGGCAATCGGGGCCGTCGGCCCGCTACCAGTTGGCCAATGGCCCGGATTAGAAGTTCGCAGCGCAACGGAAGTTACGGCTGCCAGGCGTGGGGAGAAACCGGTTCCAGGGGGGGCGGTCTCCTATAGGGTGCAGCGGTTCGGCCCCCGCGCATGTCTTTGGCGGCGCTCGGAGCCGGTGTATAGCGAACGAGACAACACTCGCTCACACAGCCGCCCGCCCGCCCGCTTGAACAAGCACATGCACAAACACACACACGAACACACACACATGCACCCACGCACGCAAATGCATCATGGGCAGACTGTTGGGGTTCAACCTCCTGATGAGTTGGTGAAAGTGCAATGAAACAGTCTGGGAGAGTCGTGCTTTTTTTGGGGGGTTCACACAAATGCACGAA